TTGTGAATGTCATTACTCCTATTACAGCTGGTGAGTTTCTTGCTCGTTCTTCTTATCAATCAAAAGACGTCCTGAACGAGCGCAGTAGTGGAAAAAAAGTTGGACGATTTAAAAGTATTTTTAAAAAGTCTATTTGAGTAAAGATTATTTTGACTTTGACTTTGACTAATAGACTCCAACATTGTGGACCTATTAGCGATTTACTGTTCATGTAAGTGACTAAACTTCAATCAAATCCGTTGTAAGAATAAATAGTATACACATTTTATTTTTAATAAATACAAAAAAAATACAAAAGAAAGGCTTGAACATTTGTGTTTGTTGGTTTGTTTGAGATTCAATAAAAACATTATTACTTTTTAAGTAAATTTATTTTAATTGAATATGTAGATGTTCATTTAGATGTTTGTAGAGACAGATAATAATGAAAGTGAATTTTATATACGGATAGCTAAATTGTACCCAGGCGAAACAATTTTTGTATTCAGTAGTTTCGGAGCCTATTTAGTTCAATGAAGAAATCAAATATTTCCTGTCTATAATATTTATATATGAATCTATAACTTCACGCCGTATCTCTTGCGGGTAGGCAAAGAGTAAGTTTTTTTATACATATTTCACCTGATCCACTTTTATTATTATTTGTATATGTCAAGTGAGTAAATTAATTTCTAATGGTTTTATTGAATATCTGTGCGAAGGACGGGTGTGAACTGTACTGAGTCGACGTCTGTCAAGTTCGAGGCTGTCATTTAACAGAGTTAAATAGCCTAATCCCTTTTCTTTTTTCTTGTAGTATAATTGGCTGCTTAAATCGTTATTATTATATAATCTACTAGCTTTCCACCAGCGGCTTCGCCCGCGTAACTTCTAAGGAACTGTTTATTTGGATACCGATTTATATCATGACTAGGATATAATTACAATGACAAATTCAATAGTATACAATGGTCACTATGGCAATGTTTTAATTTCCTATATAAACTTTCACTGCCATATTCATCCCGTTATTTGCAGTTTTTGGTGATAAAATATAACTTATGTTCATCGTATATGATGGAGCTTCCCGTAGGTGAAAGAATTTTTAAAATCGGTTCAGTAGTTTTGGAGACTATTCGTTGCAAAAAAACAAACAGTTAATCAAAATTTATTCTTTATAATGTAATTATGAGACCACCATTGGAAGATAGAAAACAATAAATCAGAATCCGTATAAAACACTTCTATAACGATTCTTAATAATTCATCTAAATATTTACAATTCTTCGTGTTTATTTTAGATTCATTTTAGGCTCCACTTTATTATAAAATATAATATTAAGTCATTTCCTACACAATATTTTATGAGTAAAATTCATCAGTTATATAATAAATTCTAATAATTTGTTTTAAAAGCACGAGTACGGACCGAATACTACTAAGTACGTCACTATGATATCAATACGCACGACGTTACTTTATACAACCTCTCTAAAGTATAAAGTTAAATGTTTTCTTATTATTTACAAACTATTTTAAGTTCTAAAACAGAATGTATTGGAAAATTACTTGATTTTGATATTTTGGCATAAAGTTTAACATTGAATAAAAGTTTTACATTCGGAAAATGTGTCGCCCGTGCAACTGTCAATTCGGTAATAACTCTGTTCTTTAATTAGTGAAACCTTTTCCTTAATCTATTGTGGCTATCGATACAATGCTTTTATCAGAAAAAGCTTGACAAATGGGTTTTCTCATACGTTTCAATGACAACATATAATAGGATATCTAAACGTATTAATAACATAAGTACTATAAATATTGGAACGATGAGAAATATAAACTAATAGGTATCTGGGATGGATAAATCATTGTCGGTCGGGTGGATGCCGATGTACCGACAAATTGCTTTCTATTAATACAGTTGATGTCGTCATCCTCATTGAGAATGAAGGAGATAGATGCAACTGGACAGTACTGTTACATGACTGATAGACGGTTAATAATTTTTGAGCATCTACATTTTATATGTAAGTAACCGGCGGGTATAATTAATAATCTTTATTAATGTTTAGATTTCTGTTAGATTTCTGTGTTTAGTTTCTGTATATTCATCTAAAATCAGATATAATTATCCCTTTGGCGTGCCTCAAGGCAGTGTGCTGGGACCCTATTATTTTTGATATATATTAACGACATGCCCAATATAACTAATCATGACATGACTTTGTTTGCAGATGATAGTACTCTTCTGTTCATAGGTAATAGTGATGTAGGTGATCATGAAAATGAAATAAATATGACATTAAAGTTAATTATTCAGTGGTTAAATTATAACGATCTTAAAATAAATCTAGAAAAAACTCAATTTATGAATTTCCGACAAAGGACTAACAAACTCTTTGACTTAAACATTAACTATGCTGGTACACAAATAAAAGAATCAGATGTTACAAAATTTCTGGGTTTGTATATTGATAAAAGGATGACTTGGAAAACACACACTGAACATGTTTGCAAAAAGTTGTCCCCAGTATTCTTGTGCACTGTACAAACTTAGTAGGATCGCGAATCAGTGCACGGTCCTTACAGCTTATCACGCGTACGTAGTTTCTACTGTTCGATACGGCATTATATTTTGGGGATATTCGACTGATTCTGTATCGCCTTTAGAGCCCAGAAAAAATGTGTTAGGAGCATGTGTCACTTACAGAGTACGGATACCTGTAGGCCATATTTATTAAACTAAATATTATGACCCTGCCATCAATCTATATATTCGAAGTTGGTATTTTTGTCAAACAGAATCAACAACTGTTTGAAAATAAGACGAGATTGCGTCATCGAGACAAATTGTGTACAATACCCTCTAAGACAGCACTGTTGAACAAAAGTATATTTTGTATGGCTCCAAAAATTTTTAATAAAATTCCAAAAACAATACGTAATCTGGATAATTTGTAATGTTTTTAAAAGAAAACTTTGTAAATTGTTAGTAGCTAAAGCATATTATAGTGTAAACGAGTATCTAGCTGACAGTACTTTGTAAATGTATAAATACTTAATGAATTAATTGATTTTTTTTTGACATAACATGTTATTGATTAGATTAGTTGACAATTACTAACCTCTTAATATTGTATGCCTTTTAGGCAGATCACGGTGTAACTATTCAGTCCTTGCATCCAATATCTTTATATAACCTGTGATCAACAATAAAGATTGATTTGATTTGATTTGATTTGATTTGATTTGATTTTACCGTGACTTTGCCTGATTAAATTATATCCAATGTAATTTGCTTCTGGTGTAGCGTCCCGTTGGTGAAAGAATTTTAAGAATATACACACATATACGGTATACTAGTTTCGGAGCATATTCGATGCGAACAAAGTCAAAGTCAAAATAATCTTTATTCAAATAGACTTCTTAAAAGTATTTTTGAATCGTCCAAATTTTTTTTCCCTTTTCCGTCTTTTGGCTAATAAGAAGAACGAGCAAGAAACACACCAGCTCTAAAAGCAGTAATGACATTACCAAAAACCATGTCGTTATCCGATCAATACATTATAAATAGACAAAAAAAACTATAATAACATAATAATTTAATAATAATGCCAACAATATAATTTTTGAGATATAATGAGTTTAGAAGAAATCACCTATCCAATTGCTGGACCATCTTAATTCCAAGCATTCTTATCTGTTATATAATCGGATACCTTATAGTAAGCTTTTTAATAAGTATTATTTTAATAGTAGGTTTAAACTGCATGATATCTAATTGTTGTATTTTGCTTGGGACCCTATTGTAGAAGCGCACACAAAGACCCCTGAATGAGTTATTAACTTTTTGTAGTCTATTGACAGGGACCGTTAATTTATTTTTATTTCTTGTATTAAAATTGTGTACATCGCTTTTTATAGAAAACAAATTAATATTTTTACTAACGATCATTTAATTCTCGTAACAAATCTTACCTCTCTAAAGTATTAATAAACACATATAAAAGGGCGTTTGAGAAGCAATAAGTTCAAAACGCGCGCTCAGTGTCAAAACTGTGACAAAAACATGTATTTTGTCACATTTGAAAATTAAAGTTTGCGCGTTTAAAGTGTCCAGAAATCATAAACATGAGACAAAAATGCAAACACTCAAGTATCGTTAAAACGTAACAGACAGCTCAATACTAGATGAGATACCTTCGTTTACTGATCGATTTTCAAGGATCTGAAGACGCTAAAATTATTATTGACTAAGTTCGGTTATCTGGAATGATTTTGTTTTACTGAACTTTTGTACTGTATTACTGTTATTATTTTGTTAGTGTAAACACAACTTCTTTTTCTTCTTTTTTATTAATGTTTATCTGTTTACACAATTCTACTAATGTCAAGTGATTAATTTAGTTAATATAAATTGATTTCCAATTGAAAAATGAGAATAAAATAATTTCAATAAATACACTCAACTTTCTCACACACTCTGTGACAGTTCTCCGTTGCCGTCTTTGTCTCGCATACTCAATTTCCGTTGAAAAGAACAAACCTTTATGGTCATACAACTTTATTCTTTACGATTCTTCTAAAATCAAATTTTTGACTAAATCACGCCGTCCTTTCAAATGTCACCTCAATAATACATTTTATAACAAATTTTAGAAATTTTCATACACAATGCTCTACTTTTAATTCGGAACGATTTATTGATTTCAATCTAAATTTATATAAAGATGGACTAATAAAAATCAGCAACAGATAACATCTCACAAACATCGTTCCATATAAATTTACTCCAGTAAAATAAATTCAGCAATGGACAATCGAAAATGTAAGTTTTATTACTCATTATATTTTTAATATTAGTTAAAAGTGATTTAGAAATATTTAATTATCTCTATAAATTAGATTGTAAGTCTCGAAATATTATCATTAACTCGGTATTAAAAGATCCCATGAAGAAATTGAGAATAAATCGGTACGTCAAAATTATGGCATTCATGATGGTTATAATTATAATTATGGAAATAGCAATTAAACAGATTAAAAGACGACAAATCATCGATAAGATCAACAAAATATTTCTAAAACATTTTGTAGATGGAATTATTGAGGATCTTCTAGAACTAACCGATACAGAAGAATCGTCTTCTTCTTCATCAGACCATGGTGTATTTGAGCCCAATGAGCGTTATGTGTTAGATCTGCACGATTTGGTTAAAGATGAGCCGCAAAAAGAAGCTCGCCAAGAGGAGACTAGAGTGAAGAAACTTAGAAAAAAGAAGAAGCCTGTTAAAGATCGCACAAGTGGTACTTCTAGCAGCGATTCGGATAGTTCAGTACCCCCGACGGCACAAAGTAAAGAAGAATTCTATGACGCGCACGAGAGCTACCATGGTCTTGCAGGTAAACAGTTTTATTTAAATTCTATTCTAAGTCCTTCTACTTTCATATTCTCGCCGCTGAAAACTGCTGCTTCGCCCATTCGTGAGTCATTTAAATGCGCAGAGCCTTGACCCTTTTCTAACTGCTACACACAGATATATCATTATGTAGTCGTTATCTCGTTTGTTTTTTTTTTCTTCTTTTTATGTAATTCTTAACCTTGTTGCGTGTCAATTATCAATGAACATTACATTTAACAAATTAAAAGTGTAATGTTTTTACATTGTGAATTTTGAATAGACAAATTAAAGATAGCTAATAAATTTTGCAACAAATTACTTTTTAATGAAGTTTTTTTTGTACAAAAAAATTGGTTGGTCTGTTAAAGGTACGATTTCTTTTCATAGGTACAAAATGTTACTTACATTTAGATATATTAGGTGTTCCAATTTGTCCGAAATATCCCGATATCGATGTTCTGAGGACGCGTCCCGATTTGCATCTAAACGGGACACTAAATGTTCCGATCAATTATAAAAGAAATAAAAAATAGTCCTTTATGTCTGATTAACTAGAAAGATTTGTTGCGAAGCAAATTATAATAATAACAATAAATACTCTTTATTGCACAAAAAAAAAGGAAACTCACATAGACACACATAAATATTTACATAAGAACGTACAAAATGCGGCCTAACCAGCGATTTCTTCCAGGCAACCTTGCATTAGATGGAAAAAAAAACATTAACAATTTTAATCATAGAAAACAGAACATAAGAATAACAGTTTTAACAGCGAAGTATCACTTAACAAGTTCAAACAAAATGCTCAAAACACAAGTGACAACCAAAGCGCGTTAAGTGAGAAAAGAAACTAGAAAATCAGGTTAAACACTTGACAGGAAATGACATAATAATGTATAATGTTGCTTTAAAGGAGTTTTTTTATTTTTTATTTTCTTTTGCCTTTCTTCTATTTTTTTTTGTCTAGAATCTCAAATACCGACTTATTTAATCTTCTCTCCCTACTACAAAACAAATACGGACCTAGTAACCTTACGATTCTCTCATTATATATTACAGACTATCACAACACAAACGCGAAATACTAGTAGCAAATAATGCATCGTAAAGTAACTAACAAAGAAATATTGTCAGAAAAACCCAATAATATCGCTATCTTAATATAGAACCCACAAAGTTCATTCGAATGTAAAAATCCAGTGATTTGGAAAAAACATGGATTCCATTATAAAATATGTTACATTCGTTCGGATATAAAAGAAACGACGATTTGAAAATTTGGATCAAAGGTATCTCGAGACAAATATTTACAAGGCCCCTATATGATGTCATCATTATATTAACGCTGGAAAGGAAACACGTAGTAACCTACAAAACCAAAATGAGTATTTGGAGAAAATCTTTATATTTTTCCAAAAAAAAAACCTTATTTCCATATAATTGAGGTGTATAAGACATATTTTTCGAAAAAAATATTTGGTTTTGCGGGATACTATCCCTTTGTTTTCCAGTGTCGATATTATCACGGAAAATCTTCATGTGAACAAAATGTGTCCTATTTTGGAATAATGAATTTTGAAAACCTATGAACTGTCAAATGTGATGTGCCTCAAATTACAATTATTGATTAGAAGCCTGATTTCACTGATAATCATAAGTACCATAAGATCCAGATCGGGCGTAACAAGAGCGCGATCGACTAGAGCGGTCAGTGTTAACTTAGCCTTCCGCGATCTAAGAATTTGATTGAAATACAAACCACAATTCGTGACACACGACCTGAAGCCTCATCGTCTAATTTTATATTCTACTGCAATCCATTTCTATTGAGGTTATATCGATTGCGATAACAATTTATGGAATTATATAACTTTTTTGAAACGCAATAATCAATAGAATATTATAACATAAGAAACATAATAAAAGTTTACATAAACTATTCTTAATAAAAAATACTTAAAAAACCACTTTGTCCTTGGCACTCATAACTTGCAGATAGCATACAACTCTTTCGTTTGACATTCATCAGTAAGCTTTCAAAGGCCTAAATGCTTACCTTAATTAATTACTATTAACATTAATGGATAGTGATTATTCAAAATATTATCACGACTGCAGTAGCTAGCATGTAAAATAGTTGTAGTTGTAATTTAAAGGGCAATCTCTTAATAAGATTACAAATTAAAATTTTGTATGGATACGGCTGTACATAATTGTAAATCATTGCGTAATACGTTTGAATTTGAAAGATATCTGAATCCCTTGGTGCCCCGCTCTTGAGGTATTTTTATTTGTTTTATAATCTTTATCATTGTCTTATCGTGCTAAATTTTGGGGCCTTAATCATTAAAATTTAGAAATTCTAAGAATAACATATTCATTCAACAGCATCAGCGGCCATTATGCAAGCGGTGCCTGAAAATGGAATTGTAATGAAGCCGACTGTAGACCAACCAGCCAGTGCCCAGCAACAGTCGGCGCCTAGGAAAGATCCTTCCACTGCCATTACGGTAAAGTTCACTAGTAAAAATCAAAGACTCAACGCTTGACGTGTTTGGTCTGCAAAGAGGCTAATTATCCAAACCTCAGCCTCCGCTCTTGGAAAGGCACGTTTTTCCACTGGTTCCGGTTGCATCTGCTGTCATTAGCATCCACCAAGTTGCTTTGTGCTGATATTTTAATGATAATATTAAACTAACATTAGATTTACATCAAAAGGAATTCGGGCTAAATTCTCATTACTATAATTATTTTTTCTCTCACGGTACCGTACCCGTAGCGTTCCAAAAGGTATTGGGACAGAGAAGATGAACTATAGTACAAGTTATGATTTGATTTGGTGTTTTATTATTATTAATTGTACATATGGAAACGTATGTAAGGGAATCGCAAAGAAAAGATATTATACCTTAATAAGTAACAATAAGGTATTTTATCCTTTTTGAAAACTAATCATATAGGTAACTATAGTTATAAAGTACAATTCAAAACAACGAACAAAACATATTGACAAAAATATCTTGACAAACAAACACATATCGTATTTAACTCTCAATGAGCACATTGAGAAAATAAGTAGACGTAGGGTATGTTCCTGTTTATATACACGGCAACCACTGAACAGTATGATGTCAATTTAGTATACTGGAAGCCCGTTCCTTTATAGCTAGTTATACTGGTGACTTTTTAAAAAGGAACGCAGTCCAGTATACTGTTAATCCTATTTTTTGGCGCCATTTTCAAATTTGTTAATGCAAGGTGAATATAAATATAAAGATTCCCTTTTTTCAAAAGAAAATTGTATAAAAAAATTATTTATCAATTAAATCCATCTTATAAATAAACGTAAGTTTTTTTTTGTTTATTTAGAAACTTATCTTTTTCTGATTCTGTTTCGACTGATCACGTGATCAAAAGCACTGCGAGCACCTTACCTCGAAATCTCCAGTGCTCACAGTACAAATATGGCGGCAATTTATGTCGTCATAAATTTCCCCTGGGGTACTGTAGCAGTGTACTGGCAGTCCATAACGGAACGGATTTTTCAGCAGTAAGACCACTGCGCAGTGCTCGCAGTGTATATCGGAACATACCCGTAATCTCTAACATTGTAATTGATAAACAAGATTTGGCGTTGGAGTCAATTTACGCAGAGATTACACTTAGTATTAGTCAAAATTCATATTATTAAACAGAGACTTAACAAAGGTTAACCTAGTACGAAGTTTTACACGAGTAACATTTATTCCGAGATGGTAGCGCGTTTCCTTATTATCTACATAATACGAATTTGAACTAACACTAAAATTTCAATTTTAGCGTTAATTTACTCTGACGCTATACCTTATTTATTAATAACACTGTAGGAGGAGTGTATTTGAGAACAATTTGAATAACAAATTGTCATGTGATCAACTAAGTATCAACTGTCAAGAATATAATGTCGAGGCAAAATGAAGATGCACCAAGTTGGTTATTTATGTCTTCTAACGTGGATACTATTCATATTAAAATGCAGATTTTATGTAAATTTTATGCATAAGTTATAGTGATATGTAGTATAAAGGTAACCTAGTTGAGGCAAAGAATTATTTGTAACTAGTGTTTTATTTTCTGCGACAAAGACCTTATTAGGTATAGGTATTGATATAATATGAATTTAGAAGACCAGTGTTAATGATAAAAAAATATTTTCCTTTTAATGAGGTACACCGTAGATGGGAATACAATATATGAGTCCCATTTAGCAATCAATGATAACATGCCAATATTGATGATAAAATTACAAATACAGTTATCGTTGTCAAACGAAATTAAGAATTGATAAAAAAATTATATTATTGCCATTCGCATTTCAAAATAGAAAACTTATGTCAGATACAAACAAAAATGTCATAAATTTTTATGCATTTTAAAATTTCTGCTTGTTTATCAAATTCAGATTATTTATTTAAAACAAGAGTATTTAAGATGTATTACAATAATTCTAGTTCGTTTCTTTAATATATAAACAAAATGTCTATGAAATTCAAATAAAGATGTCAATAACATGTTAGTAAATAAAATTATTGTATGACAGTCTTACTATTTAGATATTCCTTGACTGAGTAGAAACATTTAATTTTAAGTGAGTGTAATAATTAATGACATTTATGATCTCAAAATTTTATAATAAATAATAACCATACGGAACAGAAAAGCCACCAGTCTAGAGGCTGCGTTGCTTTTTGATAGCCGATCAAGTATTTACAATTACTTGGGTAGTGGGTATCAAGATACATAAATAAATACATTGAATCAGCTGAATCTCATCATGTGATCCATTCACTCGACCGACAGAAGCCATCAATTAGTATCAAAAGTGCATATTATATCTATACATTTTTATAAAAAAAAAAAACTCTTATCAGTTTTATTTGAAGGTTTTTGTTTATCCATAATAAGTTATATGTTTTGAATTATTCGTGAACAGTCCAATACTAATTACCTGATGTCATCGAAAGCTTTGGAAAAGAAATAAAAGATATAATTTCTCATTTCCAGAAACCGACGTTGGAACCTCAGTGATATTATAACAAAATCCATCTTTGGTGAGTCATATGGTCTTTACAAAAGCTCCTAATACATCCAACTTTTGTTTACTTTTTCTACTATGTTACAAAAAGGTTAGGTTTCTTACTTTATTTGTTTGTAGGGAGTTATCTAGGGAAATACTGTTTCAATCATGAAAATTCTTTTATCTACGGGAAGCAACATAATACATGGATGATATGTCACCCTACAATTTACTCGGGCGAAATTATTGTAAAACAGCTAGTTTCTAATAATTGGATAATTTCACGTAATTTATTTGTATTAAATGCTTATAAGTATAGTATTATATGAATATTATATTAATTATATAATATTTTTGCTAAATTTCCAAGATAGCAAGAAATCCAAGATAGTCATGGTCCTGGTATTTAAAGACTTTTTGAATAATTCTCCATGAAGTATCCTTCGTTCCTCTCTACGATGAAACTTAATGAAAAAATGAAAAATTTCTCTTGATAAAACAATAATACGTTTACTGTAATATACTATATGTTTACTTATAATAAAAAATATGTACTTGAACTCTATTTATTGATGCTTATATTACAGATTGCCGTAACTATAAGCAGAGAAGACGAATAGACGACAGATTCAAAGATTTACCGAAATAAAAGAAATATCACACTATATTTGTTGTTTGAAATGAAAGGAAATGATTCTTTATTAAAATAAGTTTATTAAAAGTAGGTACTTGTAAATCAACATCCTCCTCCATCCTCCTTAACCATCCACCAGGATGGCCTGAGCCCCTGCAGTGGGGACGTAAAAGGGCTGGTGATGATGATAATGATGATAATAGGCACCGAAACTACTGGATTAATTTAAAAAATTATTGGAAACGTATATCACAGGCTGCTTATAATTTATGTGGACGAAGTTGCGAGAAAACAGCTAGCTGGCAAAAGCAAAATGAATAAATTTTTTTAGTATCCACCTTAGTTACAACACCCAGGCTTGAGACATCGCAGAAAGTTAGTTTTCGACATTGACCCAACCAATCGAACCCTACTCCTCAGACATGGTACACATAGCAGAAACCGACGAGCGAGACACTGTCACGGAAGTCCTGAACAACAAAATGTCGAATACCTATCTGTCAATCATAGTAACATCTCAATCGTAATTATGTAGGTTCGATTAAAACGGACACGAAATACACAAATTCACAGCGAAAGGACCCATGTGGTTGGCAAGCCATAGGGTGCTGATCCCTACAATAGGAAGAACCGTGAAACACCAAAGTGGTTCACCTAGGTATTTCACGGTTAACTTTTTTTAGCTCTGGTGCACCTAGGTGTCAATTTTTTGTAGGCACTCTTCGTTTATCTATTTATACGGAAAACTTTTTGCACCTCTAAATATTAAAATCTATTCTAGATTCTCGTATTTCTACACAGCCCAAAATGCCGTTAGAAACTTTCTTCGAGTGTATGAAAATAATAGGAAACGAGACCGTTGTCTGGCTGTACTTCAAATTTATCTATTTATCTACTTTCCTATCGTTCTCTTCTACAGGCCACTTAAAAATTATATATTTTTTTTTGGATTAAAAATGATTTAATGAAAACATTAAGTATAATTGGACAGCATCACCGTACCAATAATGTCACCGAGAGCTTCAATGCCAACTTAACCGAGCACTAAACAAAAACACAGTGACATTATTAAGACTATTACTTTTTTAGAAAAAAGTGTATCAGTCGTACATGCTGATAAAAATTTAATTTAAAAAACGAAAAATATTTCACGAAAATGATAACTATCGTATATTCTCAAAATACAAATGCAATTAGTTGATAAGGAAATCACTATAGAAAGTGCATTAGGAAAGCTATGTAGTTAATAAAGCGATTTTTTTTATGCGAACCAAGTTTTTTGACATAATATCTATTAATTAAAAGTAGATAATTTACCTCTGGAGTAAAGTTTGTTTTCTGTCTCTTATTAAGTTGTTACATTACCAAAACAGATTTCTTATCTGTTTTGCCCTGAAAATATTTTATTTTAACATTTTGTTTTTTGAATTATTTAGGATGACGTCTATTTCATGGTATATGAAGTGGTACAAAAACTTAACCGTGGTACACCTAGCTGAACCACTTTGGTGTGGTGCGGGCCCAATGCATGTCGATGAGTGTTAACGGCTGCAGAAGCAATCGGAACTAATGGCTCAATGCTCCTTCCGCAACACAAGGCCAGTGCCTTTGCAAATTTACTTAACTTCAATCCACAGTTTGCAAATTCGTATCAATCATAGATTTATATTTGCTGTCAATCAATGTCAAACATTTACCAGTTTTATATTTAAAACAATCACACGGTCTTGTGTTTATAAAAGTATTATACGTAACCCATATCAGAGTCAATCAAAGTAAAAATTATCTCTACATTTTTTAGCTACCATTCGTTTAGGACGTCTTGACTGGCTGATAAGAAGAACGAGCGAAAGAAAAGCAAATTATCATAGGATGATGCTATAGTTATTATTCTGAGTCCTAGACAATCCAAAATTTACAATATCGATTGAATTTATTGGGCACCAAATACATAAATTCTAAGGGTAATAAAGGTTGTTGGTTGGTCACCAACTTAGAATAATAATTATAGTTCATATTCTTAAGCATAACATACGACTTCCTGGATTCGTCGTATGATAAATTAAAAACTTTTTAATGATACTAAGCTAGGATAACTTAAAGTTATTTCGTAGAATAAAACAATTTACATGACAGGTCGCGTCAACTTTTGACAGTCACGTCAGTAATAAAGTCAATATCTGTAAATGTCAGCGTGTTTAGAAAATTGGAAGTATTTTAGCTCCAGCTTTTAATTTTTACTAAGTAGGTAACATTTTATTCGGAAGTCCCGTTTCTTGGGACTTACCGAGAAACGTGGCGTGCTGATAATAATTGGATTAATATTTAAATTGTTATGAATACTAACAAGAATTTTAATGCTCAAAATGAAAACATTATCATAATAATTTTTTGATCAGGCAAGCAAATTAGCATGTAAACATTGTTATTACGGAGTTAAACTGAATTTAGATTGCTTATTTACCTGAAAGTGTCTATCCATAGGAATGGAAAAGCCAACCCGTTACAAAAACAAACCCAAAAAACCTGCAGCGAAGACTAAAACAACTAAAAAACGGAAAAGTGATGGTAATATATTTTAATGATAGCACATAAAGCTAATCTATCTGAATTTATAAAGTGCAACAGTAATCATTGCCTAATAAAATATTATTTTAGTATTGAGAATAGTAAGACTTATACTTCAAACTAGTCAAATCCAAATCATTCCTAAAGCCAACTCATATATGTCGAGGTGCAGCGCAAACCATTTGGCGCTACCAAAATGTTATCACCAATGTAGCCGTTGGTACAAGATCGGAAATGAATTAACAGTAGTCGTAATATTTACGGGATCAAGACAGATCAATTTACATTTAGAGGTGGCTAAATTAGCGCTTAACGTGTTAATTTAAAACGCTAATCGTATTTCGCGCTTAACACTGTTAAGTATGTACACGTTAAGGCGTTAAAAATTTTGCGTGTTAACGCAAAATGATTATTAGCGTCAGAGGCCGAGCGAGGAGTATTCACGTGAGCGTGAAAGCTAATGGATTTATGTATACTCGCAGCACGTTTAATACAAATGACATACGAAGCCGATCTTGTACCAACGTGAAGCTGCGAATGTTAACGATTTATTCTCGTTGCATGTTAAATAAGTTCGTGTATTATTAACATGGCCAAGTTAGTTGATATATTAAATTAATTAGATTAAAGGGCTATTATGTGAGTTTATATTAAGTAAAAAAAATTGATAAATTTACATTTATTTTTGACACGATTAATTATGATAAGTACGTGTTTATTTATAATAAAGATGAAAATGTTAATAAATATAAGGACAAATTTTAGTGAAGGGATGTAAAATTGTATTACGTGTAGATAACAAATTTGCATAGTTCATTTACTTTTATTAATTTATTTTAATAAAATTTGAAACAATTATTTATTATTATTTTATTCAAATATAAAATATTAATAAATTATCGTTTACTATAGCATGCGCTCAGTTCAAATATCGACATATATAATAAATAAGGTACTAGGAGATTTGTGTACTGCTTGATTAAATTGGTCTGTCGCACATAATTCTTATCATGTACTTTGTGCGTTAAAAATTAGGGTGCCAATTTATAGCGTATTAATTAGCACGTTAATTTTTCTTAACATTTAGTCTTCAGTGCTTTAATGTATTTTAGTAGTTTTGAACAATTCTATTTACACTATCTTATATTTAAATGGTAGAACTGACTTGCTATTCTTTCTCGTATTGGAATTCTTTATACACTGTCCTTGCCACTTGACAGATGTGTGTGTGGGAATCTCCCCTAATAAATGCCTTCCGTGTACCCTATACTTTGGAGGAAGGGCCTTAGATCAACCAGGGAGAGTTCCACACCCAGTTCCCAAGCACTGATTTACTTTTTTGAAGTTAGTTATTAGCCCTGTGTTATAACCTGTTATGTTGCATCCGTAGCACAAAATATGTCTAAAAAATATGGGTTTCCCCTATTTTATTTATGTTACACATTCAACTACAAAAATAGTCCAAATCAAAATATATTAATTTATTGCACAAATAAAATACTTTGATTTAGACCTAAAAATCAGATTTTTTTTCAGGACCTACGTGCTCAATGTTTCTGGCGGAACTCACTCGAAAGCTGGCTTCTAAAAAGAGGCAAGAAGTCGAAACCAAAAATATAGTTCGTAAGTACTAAAATCTGATATCGGATATTTAATTTAGAGCTAAAGCTCTTTCGTCTAAAGTTAAAAGCGGCGACAAGGGCTTCAGTCTTTCTACTACAATATCTTTATTTTAGGCATTTCTGAAATTTGACATACAATGCTGGCGCTTATACCTGCATTCCTGGAGGGGAAATAGAATAAATATAAATCTATTCTAGAAACTTATTAAAAATGGATTAGGTTTTACGATTATTAGAAAAGAGAAAACTTAATATGTAATATTTATAAAAATATATATATATTATTAAAATGTACCTTGCAAACACCTTATAATTTGGATAAAGAATATAGTCCAAAGAACAGGAATTTATTGGATCATGCGTATGTACCTTGATTCTTCTCCTTCTTTGGCCTTTATTAGCAGGAGCACAAGCACACTTAGTAGAGGTGTAACGCATCATTGAGGTAAGACGACTATTATAGTACGCATGTGTGATAAGGATGGGAGATGCAAAGGTTTAAAGGTGTTTGCAAGTGTGTAAATTACCCTCTATTAAAATTAAAATAACCCGCCACATACTAAATCCAACAAGCAATAAAGTTGAAATAAATACAAATCATTTGATTTGAGCATAGGTAATCTTTCTATATATAGTTTCAAACTCTTGTTTACAGAAACTATTATAGACAGCATCACTAACGCTCTACCGATAACATTCTCCAAAAGATCACCGCAAAAGAAAGAGTCGCCTGTTAAAATAGAAACTTTACAGTCATTTGCTCCAGAACTTTTACCTAACGATACTTTAGACATTCCTCCACCCCAAATTGAAAAAATTGAAGATGAGCAATCACTAACAGACACAGAGAGCGTAAAAACTAAGTTTAAAATGCCCAAAATGCCAGTGGCTAGTAGTGATGTATTCAAACAAGCTATAGAGAGACGAAGAAGAATTCCGACTGAAGATGTAGCGGTCAATACAGGGGCAGAACATGACGTTGCTAGTGAAATTGCCAAGTATGTTGGAACGTTGAAAAAAATATCTTTAATAGCAGAAGAATTTAATCAAAAAACTGGTTAGTGGTTCTCAATTGTTTTTGTTATTACTTAGTGATGCATCGCACTATTTATTTTTTAACCAGTCGCTGAAAACAATAAATCTTTAGGTAACAATAATTTAACATTTTTGTTCAATAAATCACTCATTTTTTATAGCTAAAAATTTAAAGGAGATAGTAGATAGTGTTCAAGAAGATTTGATAAAAAAATTAGAAGAAATCCAAGCTGAAAGAAAAGCATCGCTCAGAGCTGAAAAACCAGTACAAATCGATGTAAAATCAGAAGCTATGGAAGAAGAATAACACTGGCAAAATCAAATATGACATTTAACTTTGTACTATGACAAAATATTGTGTCAAAATGGCATATGTTGAATGTTCTAAATAAAATTAAACGGTAAACATATAATAACAAAAAAATATAGTTTCTTTAGACATAATAAATTATTTGTATATTAAATCAAACCTAATGTGATTACATATGATAATCATAGTATCAGATTGCTGTTTAAATTATGTGTTGATAGGAACAAACGAGACAACACAAATGAAGTCCAATTAACAGGTAACAATCCACTTTCACATGTAATATATGATTTTGTTCAGTGTAAACTGATTCTACAATAGATTTTTCAGTTAAAATGGACCCAACTTCTGATAGAATTGTATCAGAAGGTAAAGGTCCATTAGATTACATCGTTGCATACGGACATCGCATAAAAGTACATCGTATCAATTCAAAAGACAAACTTAACAAAGGTATTGACTTATTTCTTAAAATTGTTATGGATTATGCGAAATGTTACAAAGGAATTCTATTTAATAGGTTTTCGAGAGTTAGTCAGTACGATTGAAAATGAGAAGAAAAAAAACTTTAGTAAGTTGCCAAGAATAATCAAAACGACAACAAATTCTGGTGTCAATAAACATGGTGCTCCATCGATTCGTTCTGATACATCAGGTAATATTATTCATAGCACCTTTTAATTTTGTGCTGAAACAATAGTAAAAGCATTTCTAATTATGGTATTTTAGGCGATTGCTTAGAAGGACCCAGTAGACAAACACATTCACCGACGAGAAATAAAAACAAAGGTAAGTTTTTCATTCATATAAATTTATTACACTTACATATTACTGTACCTATTTGCAGCAGTATATCAAGTTGAGCAGTTCTATAGATCGTAGGTACATAACAATCAACATCGTGTTGATATAGTGACAAAAAATCAAAGAAACTGGTGTTTATCGAGCTGGATGCCCCCGTAAAGTGGTTTTCCTGATATAGAACTATTTTTTGTATTTAAAAAAATATCAGGTTAGGACATTAGGGGGAAGTTTTTGTAATTTTTTGTCTATTGTTTTTAATTTATAAACTTTTAATGCGGCACACTGTTGTTGTCTGTACAAAAGTGATATAATTTATAAATTATTGGTAGAATTATTGACTGGTGGAAAAAAAATACCAGTTCGTATAGCAAAATATATTTTTGAGACATACAGGAAATGTTATACAGTGGTATCCCATCTCAGAGCACCTGAGGCTGGTGGGTTATCCAACATTTCTCATTAAAGATATTTATCAGTATAGCATTGTAAATTCAAACTTGAACAAATATAATAAACGGTTTCATCTGTTATGTGCAATCTATCAATTGTCCAAAATTATAGGTTCTGGAGCAATGACAACAAAACCAAGTCAGATTCCGCGGCGCAAGATCACTTCGGATAGTTCTTGTTCGAAAGAAGATGATAAAAAATCACCAAACCGGAGATACTTCACTAACGAATCCCATATCCAAAGGGTTCATTTACCTAATTTAAGTCCAGGTAAGACAAATCTTGAAAGCTTATTAAATATTCTCACTGCACGTTCACTAAGAAATGTTTTGCTGCTGTTTTAAGATCGCACGCAAAACTTTATTCATTTCTCTTTATTTATTTGTAGATTTTTGTGAAGATGAACGCTCTGCAACGGTATCTTTAGTTTCGACGAGACCAATTCCCAATTTGGGTGAAATTTATAGGCGGAATAATTTAGTAGATGGAGGTATATAATGTGGTGTATTACATTTTTAGTATTATTTACTGCAATCTTATTACAGCAGTAGAAACTAAAAATAGTGTCAATCTAATGTATCCATACAATCAACACATACGTATATTAAGATGCTACTGTACTGCGGCAGTCGACGTCATTTATGATGGACATCACTGCTGTGAACAAGAAACGCCTCAGTTGCTTGACCAGAATGCTTATAGTGTGAACTCCGTTAATCATCTCTCATGCTACCTTTATCGATATTTATTTATAGACTGGTATATGGAACTTGATGTGCCACGGAATTCTGAAATTGACACTTCTTCGAGGAACATGGGGGCCAGACAATCATCCCCTAATGCAGACATAACACGTAGCATTGTAGATGTCGGTAAGATTTTAGGTTTAGGTGAATAAATAATGTATACTTTATCATGAAGTTCTAATACTATAAAGGTGGAGTACTAAGTCAGATAAGTTCGTGGCCTATTCAAGTATAAACAAAAATTTACTGAATTCTCAAGAACCTTTGATAGAGGATACAAGTGAGCTTGTATACGTAATAAAAAATTTCTTGATTTATAATTCAATGGTACTAAATATACACCTTTCTTATTTTTCATTTAAAGAAAGACACTTAAGCATTTTAGTATTTACATAATCTTTATAATTGAAAGAACTGAGCTTTTGTCAAATATCATTGTCTTCGATATAAATAAGGTATACAAACTGAACTTTTTTACAGAAGTTAAAAGTTTAAGAGGAACTGTTGAAAGTTTCAAGCCAAATGGTGTGACCAATACACAAGTGTATAAAAGCACCAATGACAATGTTAGTGGTTGGCTCTCACATGATAATGATTATCCTACGAAAGATGATGAGTCCGGTAAGCCCCATAGTAAAGTATTTAAAGTTTAAATAGAGATCATAGTATCTTTATCTTTATGCTTAGATTTAACTATAATTATATCCCTTTCTCGCGGTTTCTTCAATATGCTCCAATGCCGTACTTCTGCCGCCATTTTTTTCCCTCGTTTTTGTATAAATCGACAAAATAAAATGCAGAATATTTTTGTCATTACAAAATAATTAATTACAATATAATAACGGCGTCATTTCGCTCCGAATACCTTAACTCAACTGACTCGCGTGGCGTTCCATCATCCAGTTCCACTATTCAAACTACACTCGATCACAGCGGTTTTGCAACCTAAGTTTCGCAACGAAGTTGTGCTATGTACGGGCGTAATGCTAATTATATTTCTTTACATAATTTTATAGCGTAATTACTATTACCTCCATAGTCAAATGGCTCGCTTACCGGTTTCAAAGTTTTCAACTTCTGTTGCTTCAAATTTAAAAACTCAAACCTTAGATAATTCGCTTAGGATCGACCAATATATTATTCTTAGATATATAATTATGTATTACATACATTGCACAGATTCCAAGATAAGGAGCTAAAGCCCTTATATTATAGAGTATCTTAAACAAACAACGAAGATGAAACTTCATATTCTACATTGTCCTAGCTGAGAATCGAAACTGACACTTCTTAGATACGGTATCTTAAAACCGGTGTGAAAGCCAGCATATTGGCTTTCACGCCGGTTTTAAGGCTTTAATGACGAATCATGTTCTTACATTGCTCAAATATAATTCAAAACAATTGATGATACCAAGAAACTTCAATATAATTAACAAGGGACGTTTACTTAGGATATAACTCAATCAACCAAAGTATCTATTTGTTGTAGACTCAAAGATTATGGGAAACCACATGAATTCCAGTCAAAATGGTTATTATTCAAGTTTACCCAAACCGAGCGATAAATTAGAAGAGATAGAATTGAAAACTACATACGAAGCCATTTCAAATTTTAACAAAGGTATTGTATGTTGAAAAATGTAAACTTTACATCATACCTTCACACCGTATTTTTTTATTTGCTAGACTGCGAGTTAGTTTGGTACAGTATCTTAACTAAAACTCCAAATTTGATATCTTTTATTTATTCTTTGAAATATACAGTAAACACTGTAAATTTAATTTGTAGCAATAGTAGTTTAAATTTTCAAGCTCAATGAAACTGTTTAAAAAATTCATCCTAGAATTAATTCCAATAAATTGTGATCATGCCGATGGAGACGAAAGTCACAAATCTTAGAATTGTTTGTATGAAATCATTACGAGCCAAATCTTCAGGTTTCCAATTTTACCTGTCCTTCATTTGCGTAAATGAAAAAATAATTGAAAATCAAAAACTTTTATAATCGTATAGTTAAGTAAACTGATTGGTTCCAGAATACAGTAAACATTTGCAATTTCCATCTCACACCGACACGCTATCCAAGAGGGAGAAAGATGTGATAGCTTCATCTTACGTGGAGTGTGCCTCAGAAATTTTACAGAAAACGACAAACTTTGAAACTGAAGGCAGAACACTAAGTGAGTCTTTCATTGAATGTATTAAATAAATAAAACATCAAATAGGTAGGTTACTGAGATTGAAGACGATATATATTTTTAATATATTAGCCTTCTACAGTAACTAAAGATTATTTTTAGAGATTTCCCATTAGTAAATATATATTGGAACTAATTATAGTGACTTAAATTTACATTGTATTTAATTGAACTTGACATGAAGGTAGAGACTCACCAAAAACAACGAGCAGCATAGCTGAAACTGATATAGAAACTCGCGATGACTACTCAAGCCAGTTCGAGCTCACGCAAGTCGACAACTGCAGCCTTCTAGACGAACAACCCTCCGTCTGGTGCCAACATCAATGCACGTCAAAGAGCTGCATTACTTTCACCAAATCGAGCGGCTCAGGTTCAACCTCCGTAGAAGGTTCTCTCCACTGTGTTTGTCATGGAAGAAAAATTGATTCCAATGAAATTCAGAAACAGACTGGTAAATCTCTAAGGCAATAGGTTTAATTATGTAGTTGAATCAATCAATTATAAGAACTGTAAAAATACAATTTCCTTTTTTCTTCACACTCAGTACTTGGAAGATATCTTGACCCCACTCATCTCTTTGTCAAATAAATACACAAACACAAACAGCCAACAAACTCGCAACCATCACCAACTCTAATACGCTTCCATCAGCCATCAGACAGACAGGCTGCAGCAATCTCACAGTCGATACGCTTGCAGTTGTTCGTTGGACTTAAGTCATCGCAATTTGGTTCTTCATCTTCATCGGAACAAACTTCATTGGTTTGCTGCAATCGTGTGGAGTCGTGACAT